AAAAAAATTAATATAAAAACTCATCATTATATATTTCATGTACTTTATTTTATTAGCACTAACGCTACAAACATCATAAATGAACTTTATGTTATGAAGAAAAAAAAAACCACTAAAATTAAATTAAATTAAATGATAAAATTTTAATAAAATAATTTTACATAACTTCAATAATAAATTCCAAAATATTGTCCCAAAACATTAAATTACAAATCAAAACAAATGATCATAAATCATCACCATCTGTATCTTCTGGTGGAGGCCCCCCTTCTTCTTCACTAAAAATAAGATCATCCTCATAGTCAGTTTCATCTTCTACATCTTCATCTTCATCTTCTATCAACAGGTCATCAGTTATTGGCCTTTGTTCAACATCAACATTTTCTATTTCTAATCGATTCAAAATAGGATCATTATCACACACCAAGGCATCTTGTTGTATATGCCCAATCTCCTCATTTTCATGATATGACTCAACTGCATCTTCATCAGGAGGAAAATCATAAAAATCACGAGGTTTTGTCTTGATCACAACATGCCAATTTGAATCTTTTGTATCTGGCACATAGTACACCTGTTCCGCTTGACTAGCCAATATAAAAGGTTCATTAGTTTGAAGTTTATGTGTAACATTTACTAATGTAAGCCCATATTGGTCTTCTTTACATCCTTTTTTCCTTCCTTTACTGAATACATCCCACCAATCACACTTAAAAAGAACCACACTATGTCCTCCATAATCTAGTTCAATAATTTCATTTAGTACCCCATAATAATCAATGCCTCCATCTCCTTTTACATATACTCCACTATTTTGTGTTTTCAACTTCATATCATGCTCTTTAGTGCAAAATTTCCAACCATTAATAAGGTAACTTGTATATTTGATCACCCTTCTATCAAGTCCCCAAACCAAAAATTCAAGCTCCTCATTATATGTTGCAATTCCTTCATCTTTCAAACGTAAAATCTAAAGTAAAAGAAAACAATAATAAATATACCATCAATATTTTTAGATTAGATTCAAAAAAGAACACTCACCAATAATCATTAAGAAAAAAAAAGTATTGTTGATAAATTAGTAACATATAATCACTCTACTAAACGCAACCTATCAAGAGAATTTACACCAAATTCATGTAACTGTTTCATATTGTGCACAAAATTTAAAAATAAAAAAATTACAAAAAAAAAAAAAACAAAAAGCTTTTAAAAATTGTGGCATAGGAATCAATAAAATCACTAAAAATACCAAAGCCTAATTATAATCTGCAAAATACAATTTCATATATCATTTCTCTTATTCTCACTCATGCATGTTATGAGTATTCTAAAACATAACCAATAATTCATATACTAGTTCATAGAATTGCACCAGCAGTTAGCTTATAATTCATATTACTAGATATTGAAAAATAACCATCAACACAACCCAGTTCATGGAATTGCATCAGCATCTATTTCTCCAAACTCTGGTGCAGACTTCATGCACAAAATTTAATGGTGCAATTCTGAATTTTGGGAATAGATGAAGTTTAAGGTTTATTTATTATGAACTAGTTTTCAAAAGCTTCTTAAAAGAGATCTAAAAGTACTTTTTCTCTAAGAATCATGTTTGCAACTACTTAAAATTTAGTCAATATTAAAATGATAGCTGAAACCTAACTAACAGTAAAATTATCATTAATTAAAAACTAAAATACTTACATAATTTTTGAACCATATATCAAATTCTTTCTCAACCCTTGGTGCCATAGTATCCGCATAATCCAACTCCAATTCTTTGTTGTGCAAGCTTTCACAAAATGATAATTAATTAAAATTTAAAGATAAATATAAGTAAAAATCAGAATTTATAATAAATATTAAAAAAAATCAAAAACTAATAACTTACTTTATAAACTCATGTATATCCTCACAATTATGAAGCACATAGCTTCGAGCTTGATCCCATTCCATGAAGCTCAACTCCTCATATTTGTTTCCTCGTAATGGCCTCCCAATACATTTAAAAATTTGAAGCTTCGAGGTAGTTGATTCATCCACCCCCTCATAATTTCTTCCAACACGATTTAGTATTGTCTCAACTTCAGGCATATATAATGAGCAAAACATCACAGCTTCATGAACAGTATAAGCCTCAGCAATTGATCCTTCTACATGAGCAGTATTCTTAACAAATGACTTCAACCTACGTAAGAATCTTTCAACAAAGTACATGCACCTATACGAGACAGGGCCTGCGACTTTTTCTTCCCCAGGCAAATGTACAGGTAAATGAATCATTACATTGAAAAAGGACAGGGGAAAGACCTTCTCCAACTTGCAAAGAGTCACAACTATTGACTTCTCGAGTGATTCCATGTCTTCTACATGTATCTTTCTATCACACAATTTCCTAAAAAACCACTTAACTCTATTATTGGCTCACACACTTCCTTTTTCAAAACACCACGTATTGCTAATGGAAGGAGACGTTGCAGGAAAACATGACAATCATGACATTTCATTCCAGCTAAATTGAATTCATTCTCACTGACATAACGAGTAATATTGGAGGAATAACCATCTGGAACCTTTATGGCATGCACAAATTTACATAAATCCTTTCTTTCACTTGGTGATAATGTATAACATGCAGAGAAAAAACTATACTTATTATCGCCTTCTGATTTTGCATAGAGTTCAGGACGAATACCCATAAGCTCTAGATCAAAACGGGTATTAATAGTATCCTTTGTCTTCCCCTTAACATTCATCTTAGTGCCAAATAAACTAACAAACACATTCCTCACAATATGCATGACATCTAAGTTATGTCGTATCATAAGCGTTTCCCAATATGGCAACTCAAAAAAAGCACTTTTTTTCCTCCAATTACCTGGTAATGTTTCCTGCCCTTTTTTTGTTTCTTTGTTTTGCCAAATGTCACCTAATAAAATTATTCACAAATAACAATAAGAAAACATAAAAATTAAATAGTAAAATGATTAACATATATATATATACACAATAGAAGAATAATCTAAAAGCTTACCTGATTGAACAACTTATATTGTTCCACAACATCTTTTCCCGTCAACTCTTTAGGTGCATGACGATGTTCTATTGTTCCATCAAAAGCATTTGCATCTTCACGCCAAGGATGGTCCAGTGGAAGAAAACGACGATGACCCAAGTAACATGTTTTATGACCATTTCGAAGCCTTAATGAACAAGTCTCAGTCTTGCAAGTTGGACATCCAAATTTACCTTTTGTACTATATCCTGATAATATAGCAAGACCCGGAAGGTCACTAGTCGTCCACATCAAAGCTACCCGCACATTAAAGTTAGATTTTGATGCCGCATCATACACCTCCACTCCATTTTCCCATAGGTCCTTCAATTCATCTATCAAAGGTTGAAGGTATACATCAATGTCATTTCCTGGAGCTTTAGGACCAGGAATAAGCATAGGCAACATAAGATATGAATCTTTCATACCCATCCAAGGGGGTAGGTTATAATTCACCAAAACCACTGGCCATATACTGTAAGACGTGCTCATATTTCCAAAAGGATTGAAACCATCACTAGCAAGCCCAAGTCGTATGTTACGTGGATCTGCAGAAAAAGAAGGATGCTGAGAGTTAAAACTTTTCCAAGCCAAAGAGTCTGCTGGATGTCTCATAAATCCATCATCAGGACGCTTTTTTTCGTGCCATATCATTTCTGATGCCGTTTTAGGTGACATGTACAATCTCTTAATTCTATCCTTTAAAGGAAAATAACGCAAAATCTTACAAGGAAGTTGCTTTCCTCTATCTTGTTATCCACCATTTTTCCATCTGCTAACACCACAAACAGGACATGATTGTTCTTTTTCATATTTTCCCCAATAAAGAATACAATCATTCACACAAGCATCTATCTTCTTATACTTTAATCCTAAATCTTCAAAAATCTTCTTTGCTTCATAGAATGAGGAAGGTACCTTGTTGCCCTTTGGAAGAACTTTAGTCAATAATTCTAAAATTGCATCAACTGCTCTCCCACTTAATCCATAAAGGATTTTAATGTTCATTAGTTGCGCGATGAAAGATAGGCGAGAGAAGTGCTGACAATTGGGATATAGTTCTTTGTCTGCCTCCTTCAAAAGTCTATAAAACTCCGCAGCTTCCTTATTCACATTGCTTGAACTAGTCCCAATAGGTTCATCTGATCCATCATTGATGTTATAAGCACATCCAATATCATGTAGCATTTCTTGCATTCCTTCATATTCATGCATATCATAATCACTCTCCTCTTCAAATTCATGCATATCATAATCACTCTCTGCATCATATTCATGGTAAAATGACTCACCGTGATGATACCATTCCACATACGCTTTGTCGAAGTGATTAGCCATCAAGTGTTTATAGAGAACCTTTCTTGTTAGAAATGTATCATTATGGCATTTTTCACATGGACATCGAAGTGCCTTTCCTTCTTCATGACCATTAAATGCAAAGTCAAGAAACTGGCGGACACCCTCCTCATATTTTGGATTACTCCAATGGAGATTAATCCAACTTTTATCCATCCTACAAATATATATAAGAGGAATTAGAAGGTAGATATGCATAACTTAAAGATACCCAAATTCCCCCTTTGAGAAATCACTAAAAATTCATCACAAGAAGATAACCAGAAGAAAAATTAACAGTATCCCAAATAGCAAAATTTATTCTGTGATTTTATCTGAACACTATAATGAAAAGAACTGCAGGTAAAATAGAAAAAAAAAAAGATTTTATTCCTTAGAAGTAGAATATAGAGATCCCAAGCTCCTTGTTTTCGCTTAATGCTTGCACTTCAATCTTAGTCTCTTCTTCGCCTTCTCCCCAATCTGCCACCAGGTGATTTCTTCAAAAATTGCAGACACAAATCAGTCCAAAAACCAATTTACAAAGGAAAATAGGGGTTAACAATGCCCATCTTTGCAATCGACAACCATGCCCAACTAGGTTACAATCTCCTTTATAGAAACGAACAGAGAAAAAAAGGGGAAAAAAAGGAAATAAAAAAAACAACGAAACTTACCCAATCGATGTCGGAGTCGGAGTCTGTCAGCTGGTAGAATAGCGTAGTAATTCCCTAAATTGAAACAATTGGTATAGCAGAGGTAAAGCAGACAGATAACTCAGTATAAGGGAGGTCGAAGATGAAAGAAACAGGGAATAGCTAAAGAGATCAAAATTTAAGAATACAAATAGGGCTACAAATAATTGAATAAGCATAAAAAATAAAAGTAGGGTACTGGTTCAAACTAATGAACTTTTTATAAAAGTTAGAGGACTGAATTGCAAGAAAAAAGTTCTTGAGACGTAAATAATTGAATGTTAAGTTAGTATTAAAGTGTTCATTCTACAAAAATTAGAGGATGAGATCAGCTATTTTACTATTATAAAATTGTGAAAAGGGGCTGGAAACCCGACACGGACATACTGTCGACACATGGTTCGTGGTGTCAACACTAAAAGCATGTCCAGCATCAATAATCTATCTTTGAGTCCAAGTCCTATTCTTTTCTCATATAGTTTCTTAAATTCATTTAGATATCAGATTTAGCCAGATGATGGGCCATTAAATTTGCTTGATGCCTCACAAACGAAAATAAAAAAAACATAATCTATGGATGCTAGCTACAGTATATGGCCACAATTATTAGACAAACTCCTTTCAAGCAAAAGAAAGCCAAAATAAATTTTCATTCTCCATAAAAAAACATTTGGGTACTAAACTTTGATTATTTTTTAGTTTACACTTCTATCCATGACATCAAATCAAAATTCTTAAATTAATAAACACCGACTTAACCTAATTCTTATAGGTAACACTAAAATTTGATTAAAAATTACTGATATCTCATCATTTCCTTAGTCATAAGATCAAATCCATGCTTTATTAGATAATTCAGATAATGCATATGCTGATTTGTGAACCTCAAAAAATGTATAAATGAAAGTCATTTCTTTGACAAGCAAGAGTCCAATGGCCAATAGTATAATAACTGAATTCCATTGAATAATAGTTCAAATGTTTCACTTAGAAGACAAACAAAATCAAAATAATTGAATCTTCTATAGAGACCATTAGTATAGCCACTGAGCTCCAATAAAGCATTTCATTTGAAGCTGGTCCATCATCACCTGAAAAATAAAATGAAACCAAAATATGTCTCTTAAATTGGCAATTGCAACAATAGCTAATAAGTGAAGTTTTAAAAATATTCTAAAGGAATACAACCGAAGTTGAGTGCCCCTAAATAGAAAGAACTAAAACCTATCCATAGCCTCCACTGAGAAATTGAAAATCCCGAGCATTAAATTAATAAAATAGCTAAAAAAAATTGAAAATCTCGAGCATTAAATTAATAAAATAGCTAAAAACATTATAATGTTAACACATTACAAGAAGCACTCCAATAAAGCGGTTGGAATCTTCTAATCCCATCGACATACATTACAATATCACAAATAAGCTTAATTGAACAGAGTGTATGCCCATTATAGCACTGTAGAACAACAAACTTCAAAGAATCAGCCAAAAAAGTATAAATACATACTGGCAGTAAACATTAATGGCATTCCAAACCTTAGAACCTAAGGATGCTGCACATGGTCATGGGCCAAGTTTACCATTAAAACATTTACAAGGATATATCACAAAACATACAAAAGAGTTGAAGCAATCAATCAAGCATTGCTTCACAATCAAAGCCATCCTTAGTAATTAATTATCAGAACCACCAATAATTAAAATTAAAAGGATTAAAGAATAGATGAACTTCATCTAGTATTCTAGTTTTACTAACACATTTCCACTATCACCAATAAGTTCAACATTAATAACTGCAACCAGAACCATCTCAACGTTCAAAGCATACTGACATGCAAAATAATAGGTTGAAGAATCTGTGGCAGATATAATAGCATAAGAAAACTCAGCAGGTGAGAGGCATGGTTTGGGAATATACTTTGGCAATCAACGAGGGTAAGTTCATCACAAAGACAAAGAAAAACCAGTTCAACAAAGAGTATGAATCGCACTAACCTCACCTCATGGTAATAGACAGACCATCAAATCACCTACACATTTAATTGCCTGCAAACAAACCATCAATATAAAAACCAGTTCAACAGTGTTCTAAAATTATAGAGTGGGAAAAGGATTGATGGTATCAAGTAAATATACCATTCTCATCATCTGAATCACTAACATAACTTGGCAGTTTTGGTGATTCAAATATACCATTCCCATCATCTGAATCACTAACATAATTTGGCAAACTTTGTGATATTGGGCTTTCACGAGTATCTCTATGCAAAGAGTTAGGAAATGAAAAGCATAAATCATTCACATGAACTCCATCAATGGAACTGTTATCTGGGAGTTCAAGAGTATGCCGTGTGGCTTTTATTTGATCAACTCCAGCTGCTAATATTTCACAATGATAAAGATTTAATAAAAAGATTAATATTGTAAACAACATAAATAGCTAGCAGGGACAAGTAAAAAAGGAAAAATAGTTTTATACTAGATCCAGTTGTAATCCTCTGTGCATCACTGCCTCTTCTTGCATCTAATTCCCTAAGTATCGGCAAATATATGTACAACATCTATGCATTACAAAGGGAAAAAGTGATATCATTAACTTGAAACCATGGAAAAAAATGGAAGCAAAACAAATGAAGAAAAACACTTACCTCCCTAATACATGAATCTGTATCCCTCAAACTGTTACCCAAAACCTTAGGACAGGTATCAGCAACATGTCCAGCTACATAACAAATTTGACAAATAGATTGCAGATGAAGTTCTTGGTCAAAATTAAGACGGCGCCTTGTTGGATTTGGCTTAGAACGATACTGTTGAGTGGTGCGTTGCTTTTTGAAAAGACAAAAAAATAACAAAAATGAAAAAAATTAAGAGAATTATGGAAGAAGGATGCACAGAGGGCAAACCTAATAACAAAACCTAAAAGATGTCTTTTTATTGCTTTTGTTCAGAGAAAGCTTAAAGAGCACTAAAACAGAAAAAATAAATCAAATATCATCTATAAAGAGGTTGCTTAAAGAGCACTAAATTGGAAAAAGATAGGTCAAATATCATCGATAAACAACAACTAGTAAGGTTAAGATGACAAGATTGCCTTAAGTTGCAGGAAATTTGAAAGAAATATTACCTTGG